AACCTTCTTAAAATTTACTAGTTCAAGTTGAAGGGTTTTGGCAGCCTGGTTATAAATAAATAGCTTATCTGTCCCTTTACCTGGATTTGTAGACTATAAGATAACTTTTAATCTTCAGACTGACTGTAATAAAGTTTCTACTATGACATTATATAATAAAAAAAATAAATAAAAAAAAAAAAAAGGCTAGTTGTTTGTCACATGATTATTAATATAGATTAAAATGTCAGGTTCATATTTAATATGTTTTTCGAACAACTAAAGAACAAGTGACTTTAAATAATATATAAATTGAATAAATTCAATTCCTGGAACAATTGTTGTTTTTTTTGAGCAAGTGTTATTTTTATACTCCACATTTTCGATACTTAAAGCATCTAAACATGATCTTATTTTCATAAAGTCCTTATATGCCATTGTTAAAGAATTACTTTTAACTAACTTATAGATAACTCACCTAATAATATACAGAAATTTCAAAGCTTCACATGGCTTTAAAGTAATAATTTTTTGAGGTATAGCCCACAATTCTGTTTGATTTATAATCTAATCATTATATTGTCTATCGTGTGATTGCTTAAATGAAAATTTGATTGTCTTTTCTAATAGTAGATAAGCTACTAATCACTGAACTTCTATATTAATATTAGTTGAAACTAATAATTGAAAATTACCAAACCAGTCACCTGCACACTTATAGTTATTCAAATGACTTTCTAAATTTGTGAACTATATAGCTATCCATTGGGTATCTTTTTTTACCAGAACAGAGTCTAGCACCATTTGATGAATTTTTTTGAACCAGAAAATTAAAAGATCATTTATGCCATTATAATATAATAAGTATTTAATTAGATATGCTCTTTCAAGCTACAAGTGATTTATAGCTATATTTTTTTCTCTAATTTTTTCATTATTAGAAGATAGAGAAAGCTATACCTGTCCTATAACTAGGTCATCATTAAGAATTTCTTTAAATATTTGGCTGCTTAAAGTAGAAAGTATCTCAATTTGAGTTTTGTAATGAATGGATTTCTCTTGATACTGGTTTTCTAATCATAATGCTACTTAGTAGTCTTGTAGAAAATAAACCTTAAATTAATATACTTTATAAAAATAATATGTATCTTATCTTTAGATAATTACTGTCTTGGTTTATATAAAAAATAAAAAATAAAATTAGTTTGCAATATTAATTTATCTTTATTTCAAGCTAGTAAATGCGCAACCTGAGCTATTAGCAGAACTATAATTTCAACTTTGTATTTCTAATGATATTTGCATTGTAATCATTAATTTATTTATAGTATATCTATAGAATTGGACTGTTTGTATAGAGAAATCACCACTTATCTCTCTAATTGTTCCAAATAAGCCTTTAAGCATGTCTTGAGAGATTCTTCTTGGTTAAATTACTGAACTCGGCTAGTTATTAAGAGCATATTCTATAATTCCAAGAAAACCATTAATTGATAAAACCAAATCAAACTGGCATTGAGCAGAAATAGTGACTTGAATCGGTTGAGCTATAATCGGTTAACTGACCCGAACAGAATAAATTTCAGGTAACTGGTTGAGGAAATTCTTAATCGGTTGACCCGATACAACCGGTCGGCGAGATTAATATGGTATGAGAAAATGTTAAAATGACATAGAATCTGAAAAGTTCTGACAAAAATTAGAATAAAGCTTCTAGAATTTCCGAAAGTACATAGTATTAATATATATATTAATCTTAACCAGTTGGTAATCGGTTGAATGAGATAATTCAGTTCGGTTAACCGATTAAGAAAATTTCTCTCGGTTCAAATCACTAAGCAGAAAACCATTGGCTTAGGGGGTTTTTTTTTATCGCCCTGAATAAACCACTGTTTTATTTCTTTTAGAGTACTTAGACGTAGGTCTTCAAAAGAGGATATACATATTTAACTATGCATGATATCTCGATATATTTTTAAATAATCAATAAATAGCTAAAAATTATAAGAATGTTAATAATGCTAGTTAATACTAGTCAAAATTACAAAATTTGATATATTGAATTTTTTAATTTTGACTTATATAAGATATAAATATAAAATGCAATATATATACAATCTAGATATCTTGAGAAATATTCATTAATTTTGAAATTTCTGCTATTGCTTTTTTAACTTCTAGTAACAATGTATGTTCTACAAGATCTACTCTTATCTTGCTCCAGGGTGTAAGCCATATATGTCATTTGGTTAGTTTAGTAGCCCTTGCTGTCTTATGTTTTATAGTATAATCATATACTCTCCAAAAGTATTTCTAGCTAATTTTCTAATTATCTCTCTTATATTTTTGTTTTCACTATTACCTATATGGCTTTTTGAAACATTATTTCTAAGTTTTTTAAATACGTAAGTGGGGTCATTCAAAAAAAACTATTTTTTATTTGTTACAGAATTAATAATAAGATACTACATCTAATTCTGGTTTTCATTATAGGCTGGGCGAATATTAATAAGTAATGATTTTCATATAATTTGCTCTATTTTTTCTATAGTTTCAATCATAACTTCAATATCTAAACAGCCATTTATTAAAATTTCACTATATACTCTACCAGAATACTATTCGTTATCAACTATATTCCAAACTTCGCATTGATCATTAATATGCCAAGTAGTTCTTGCTGGCATTGAAGAATATAAAGCAGATTGTATAACATTATGCTGAGATAGATTTAAGTTAGAAAGCTCAATCAAAAATTCTGTGCACTCTGGATTAAAAGAAATTATAGTGGAAGGTTTATAGCTTTTTTTTTTTAGTTTGTTTGACAGCTGAACTTTTACTTTATTATCTATCTTCTATGTCGCTGTGAACTAGTCAAAGCTCTTAATATGCTTTCTATTTTTTGCTACACCATTACAAACGGATCCACAAGCATGAATTGCTATACATTCAAGCTTGGCCGCCAAAGAAAAAAGAGTTGTATTAAGAGTATGAAGGTCCATTGTTTTAATTGCAAAATATACAATTGGGAAGTTAAAAGAGTGGGTTATTAAGTGCCACACTATTTAGTAGACTTGAGTTGCTAAAGCTTGTTCATGGTCTTTTTCATCTTCATTTTTTTTTTGATTATCAAAGTGATTTTGAATATCATAAAAACATTTTTTACCGAAAGCTTCGATTTTTGCATTTTTGTCATCAAAATCAATGTATCCAATATATTTATTTTTATGCTGATTCTATAATAGTTCTATAATAAATAAAAGTTAAGTTTTTTTTCTTTTTTTAATTACCTTTTTGTATTTTAAATGAATTGTGAAAAAAAAAGCCTAATCGTGTATATCCCCACATGTTATTTGCTTTCATACTAGCTATCATTCGTTTTACTGCTTTGTCTTGCCAACATGTATGTTAATTTGTTTCATTTATATAGCTTTTGAGTATTAATAATAATGGCAACCTAATAATAAATTTCATTTCTTTGTATACAGCAAAATCTTTACTGTAAATTGATACTGCTTATCTAATAAATCTATAAAATATATTTAGTAAATTTAGGTAAATTCTTATTAAACACAATAATTAATTTTCATACTTACATATAGTAGAGTACTATGATATTATGGACACTTTTTGAAATTTTATATTGAGCTAAATAAATAAGCCATAAATCTAAAAATTATATAAAATATTATTTAAATCTAAAGCTTTTAAATAAAAAAAAGTTTGCAAAATTCTATGCA